GACCAGGTGCGATGCGCTGCCAAACGAATACAGCAGGACGGAAACAAAAACACATCAAGAAAAGAAATGGAAACAACGTAAAGTGACAAGAAGTGATAGAAGAGCTCCGATCAAAGAGGAAAGCAAGAAAGCGACAGGAAAGACACGAAACAGGGCAGAACCTTGGGTTATGTAGCAGGGAAACAGAGCATCGAGTGTGTTTTGGTTTGTGTGCTGTATGCACGGGTGGACGACGCATGGACGACGCATGGGTGGCACGATCTGGAAACGCCAGGGATGGCTCAGGCACAGCGGGCGAGCGGGCGAGCGAGCGCGCGGGTAATGATGGGTGTGTGTGATGGCGATGGTGATGATGATAATGGGGATTGGAGGTGAACAAGAACGGATGGAGGACGCGGGAGCAGGCTGAGGTCACAACGGCAGAGATGCCACAATGGAGACAGGACAGCCTAGAGACGGGGATGCACGCGGCGAGGCTGCCAAAAGCATGCGCGCCCGGTTCACGCCAATACGGCACACACGAAATAACAAGGGAGGGAGCAGGAGAGGGGTGTGCCAGCAGTCTTCTGGGTGCTTGTGATGTGGCAGCCAGCCTTTGCTTGTGTGGGTTTACATGGTTGAGGATGTGTGTTTGTGTGTAAGAGCTGCAGGGAGGGCGATGATGCCGTGCAAATACAAAATGATTGATCCAGAGATGCACAACACTCACCGCCACCACCACTGCCGCCGCCGCCGCCGCCACACGAGCAAACGCGAGCGACACAAGAGAGAAACAGAGAGAGAGAGAGAGAGAGAGAGAGAGAGAGACGATCAAAAGAGAGAGCCGAGGTGTGTTGTTGTTACCTGCAAGAGGAAAATACCAACCACCGGCCCCAAGACATCGTAGGGACACACACACACACACACACATTATTGCCGCAGCATCATCCATCACCATCAGCTTAGGTATTGTGTGGTGGTGTGTGTGGCTACACTCAAACCCCACAAGCGGGCATGTGTGTGTGTGTGGCAAAGATCAAAGGTATTGTGTGGAAAGACAGATGACAGGTGTGGGCTGGGGCATTTGGGGGTGGAAGGGCTTCTCAATGGGGTGAAAGAGGGGATGTGCGTGCAACAAAAGGTTGGCTCAAAACCCAAGAAGTGTGTGATGGTGGGTTTGGGGTATTGATGTCTTTCTCTTTCGGTGTCTTCTTCTTTCCTCATCTTGGGTGCGAAGATGAGGTCACACCCCTTTTGGACCTGAGCGGCTGCCATCCGCTGCTGCTGAACCCGCCCCTTCCTTTGCGCTCACCCTTTTATGTTTTTATCTTTCCTCTGGCGTGCCCTTGCCTCGCCCAGCTGTTGCCTTGAACGTGCTTTGACATGGATGAATGAGGCCACAATTCTGGTTGGTCTGGTTGAAGAAGACTGACTGGCCGTGAAATCAGATCCTGGATTTGACACAAAGTGTGGCGACTGATGCACTTGGGCCAAAGCAGTTCTGTTGGGAGTAGTCGGCACGAGCTCGACACATTGGGGGCGCGAATGAGCAGCCAGGACATGATCCATGTCATCAGTGCCTATACAGCAGAACGTGGCGTATGACTTGCGTTGTACACGATCGGCGGACACAGCACCAACACACCAGAACAAGAGAGAGAATGTACACCCATCAAGGTTGAATGGTTGGAATGATGACTGGCGCACAATCAAAAAAGGAAGACTGCGTGCGCTTGGGACCAGCAAGGGCGGGCATGCGGCGAGTCTCTCACCTCGAGATGTGACTTGTGAGGGCCTTGCGGGTCGGAGGCTGGCGAGTGGGACCGTTGGGGCAGGAAGGCGGTGCCGCGACCGACGAGATTCGCACGCATTGGTGCGTACATTGAGCGATGTCCCAACAGGTCTTGACGCCGTTTCGCGACAGCCAGCATCGCAGATGTACATGCATCAGCATCGGCAAGCTTTCGCACACGTAGCACTTGTTTCATACACGTTGCTCCAACGCGTATGGAAATAAATTCTTGCCGTTTGGTAGCACCGTGGGATGGCCGGTATAATGACACTTGGTAGTGTATTCTGCACGATGCGTTGACGTGTGCGTATGTGCGCAGGGTGTTACGCACTTTCGTCATGGCCTAACAGGAAGGACTCGACCAAAAGTAGCGATTGTGTCAAGTCAGCAACTGAACCACGGGGAGGCACGTGTGTGCCATCTGAAAGGAATGACGCCCTTGCAATTTGCCAGGCAGGCAGGGAACTGGAGAAAATGTGGCTGCTTTCACAAACAAGCGGACCATTGAGCAGGCAGAAGAGGAAGGATAAGGACAGTGTTTCGATTTCAGCCGCGGGTACACGGGCACATGTCTGGTAAATCACATCAAGAAAACGTCCTGAAGAATAAAAGGTTCGAAGCTGTCGCAGTTGAAGCTTTTAGCTTTACAGTTAGCACGGCACACTCTCAAAACCAATCAAAATTCATCATCCTCATGATACAGAGGGTTAGTTGATAAGAAAAAGAAAAACATAAAAAAAAGAAGGGGGGGTCATCGGCGTCATGGGCTTGGCGAGCACCACGTTCGCACGGGTTCGGAGTCGATTATGGTACGTTAAAAATAAACATCAAAAGACAAGAGCGGAGACGCCATCTCGTAAGACTTGCAACCAGAGAGCGAGATGAAGAGGGTCTGGCCTGTATATGTTCACAGCAGGCTAGAGCGGATGCCACCCGTCAGACGGGCAACACGCACACCCATGGTTGCGCGGCGATTCGCAACGGGATCAGCTGGTTGATTGTCAGAGGGAACGGGGGTCGAGGTGGAACCCGCCTGAAGCGTTGATCGCATCGAGGTTGAAAGGCTGGCCATCTGCGCGAGCGTCATCCATTCGCGCAGACTGTGCGCATTCGAAGTCTTGGATGTCTCGGGTGGACTGGCCGGGCGTGAGGGAGAGGCCGATGAAGTGGGCGTATCCTGGGAGGCTCGCTTCAAGCACGGGCGCAACACAGCCACCGCCGAAGACCCATAGGGCTTATCCTCGGCTACGGTACCAGCAGACACGCTCATGAGCTGGGCCAGTGTCGAGGATTCCGGCCAGCTGCCAAGCGATTCGGCCGGGGCTGGGGATTGACTCGAGGCGGAAGAAAGGTCCATGGACATGAGACGGTTGTTGTTCAGACTCGGATCCAGTTCATCAGGGTTGGACATGGCGACCGTGGCCGTGTGCGTCTGGTCCAGGCGGTGAAACTGAATATTCTGGTCAGTGGAGTCAGTTTGAGTCGGCTCGAGGTCGGTATCCTCATCTGCCTCGTCATGAGAGATTAACGCCTGCAGTTGGGTCGAGGTTGCTTCGCGCAAGCACTGCACCGAAGCACGCTTGAGCGTGGTACGCCCACATGCCTGCGGAGCGCGCTTGGAGTGGGACCGCGCGATGGGACTGAGAAGAGCAGGGTTGGACGTGGCTCGGGGGCAAAGAAAGCGTGGCACAGGGAGCCCCGATTGAGAGGACTTGGCATCAAATGCCTCCGGCTCATCCTCATCGCTGCTCTCTGCTGTCGGGTGGCGGTTTTGCAAGCGTTGACGCCGAGCTGCGACTCGCACACGGATACGCCGCACATTGGCGACAATCGAATCGGGTTGGTTGGAGACGTCCTCGCCTTCTGTCTCATCATCTGACTTGAGCCCGTGTTTCACGGGGGAGCGGCGGCCATTTCGCATGGTGGTGGGAAACGGGAAAGGTGTTTGCAGTGTGCTGGACGAGAGCGGCTCGTCGGGTGTCTCTGGCTCGGAGCAGCTATCATCTTGCAAGTCCAACATGGCTCGGCGCTCCTGGTCGTGGGCGAGAAGCAAGGGCGAGGGACCTTGTGGGGAGGCCAACATACCAGACAAATCGGCAGGCGACTGCTGCGATTGTTGAGAAAGCTTGTGATGAGTTGTACGCGCGACGTGGCTGCGCGCCATCCGCGCCGGATGCAGGAGCCGCTTGGGGGAGGCCGAGGGTGAGGCGGCTACATCCGAGCCGTTCTCCTCCTCCTCCGACCCTTTGCGCGAGCTGCCAGCTGAGGTGGAGGCCGAGTTGAGAATCTTGGTGGCTGCCCATGGATTCATCATGCTGTTCGGTGCCACGGCAGGCCAACCGCTGACCCAAATCCAAACAATATCAAACCAAAAGGAAAGACAGCAAGCCGAAGAGGCCCGTTGTTCACAAACTGACGGCGACGCAGCAGACGCGCCTTGTCGTGAACGGAAGAAGGGGACAAGGGGCCACCAAGAGTGGCAGCGGCAGCAAAACCCGACACGGGCAAAAGGGGGCCCACCAGACCAAAGCGCAGGTGGTCCAAGGAACAAACTCGTTGGGAACCAAGACACAATGAAGGGTGAAGCGATAGAGTGCGGCACCTGGAAGAATAACTTGAAAAAAAAATGCGCCGAGTCGTCAGGTGCGTCGAGCTCGCACCAAGCCAAGGCACTCTAGCGTTTAAAAAGGGGAAACACGGAGAGGAGGGGATAGGGTGGATTGTTACTAGCGACCAAAAGGAACGTATGACAGCAGGACGCCAGTGTGGTGAACGTTTTCTTTTAGTCATGTGGGTATGGGTGTGGGACCGATTGAGGCCAAACAACGGTGTGGTTGTGTCTTGCATTTGCAGTTGGTGGTGGTGCAGGTTGGGGCCAACTGCAACATGTAGTTTTGAGTGTGGAAACGTAAGAGCCTGAATAACAACCACTCCCCAACTTTTTTGGGAGCAGAGTTGGGTTGAGACCCAAATTCTCCGGGCCCCCCAACTATGTTCTGGGCTCAAACCCAAAAACGAGTGTGTGCTTTTTGCTTTCTTTTTTGGTGGATCGAGTCAAGTTGGGGCTGTGAGGCAAGGCATTTCGGCCGCAAACGGCAACGCAATGGACAACTTCACCCCCGCTTCCGGCCTCATGTGTCCCAAACACATGCTTGGGTTAAAACAAGAGCGGCCTTTCTCTGATAGAAATGTCCCAACCCACCTTTAGAGTTGCTACTTGGTCAAAGAGATTCACAAGTTGACTGACCAGCCAACAACTCGTGGAGTTGGTTGCATTACCCCATCGAGAAGCGCGAAGCCCTCCTCGAAAAGGAGGTCAATTGTGGCTGATGATGATACAACTGGCAAAGCGTTGTTCAGGAAGTGATCTGCCCAAATGTCCTCGATTTTGAGGTAACGTTTGTGGGTCATGGGCTCGAGGTTTCAGGGTGAGGACAAGATAAGTCAGAGGCTAAGACATACCCTGTGCGTGAGAGGCCTGTTGTCGTTTTTGGCTTGGCCCATCCATCTGATCCCCCATCTCACCTGCTGTTTTGAGTAGCTGTTCTTTACTTCTGGTTACAACGTATGTTCTTCTTCATGTGTTCCGCTGTCAGCTCCCAAGCATCCCGAGATGTTGGAGTTGCGCCGTCACGGCGGCGACTTCTTGCGTACATCCGGCAAAATGTTCAACATTACACTCGTGAAGCTTTGAGGCTCAAATCCCCTTCCCGATGCCCTACGAGGTTAACCCAAACCAGCTTCGTGTCTCTCTCTCTCTCTTTCTCTCTCTCTCTCTCTCTCCCTCTCTCTCAAACTCTCTCTCTCTCTCTCAAACTCTCTCCTCTCTCTCTCTCTCTCTCTCTCAAACTCTCTCAAACTCTCTCAAACTCTCTCTCTCTCAAACTCTCTCAAACTCTCATGTCGTTGGGGTGCTCTGATGCTCCTGAAGAAAAGGTCAACAGCAAGAAAAAGTCCGGGTTCAACTGATCTGCCCATGGCGCCTTCTTGTTGAGCGTTGCTGGTTTGCGCCCTCCGAAGAGACAAGGGAAAGAACACAGGACACACACACACACACACACAAGGTTTTCTAGGGGGCAGACACGTTCATGATTGCTTGGAATTCCATGCCCACGTCGATCCAAAGCCTGGGTTCACGCAACGTTGCCTGCTCCTCGATGCCCTCATCGCCTGGTAGACACACACTGCATTCAAATCCGAAGAAACGTTGCGGACCTTACCACACCCCCTCTTGGCATTGTCGTATGGGTCAGTCTCCACTCTTGGTGGGGCTCAAGAGAAAGTTTAACGTGTGGCAGTCTCTCTCAATATCCTCGAAAGTCCCGCTCTGTCTCTCAAACAGCCTCATCTCTCTCGATCCCTAACTCTCAAATACTGTCCCTCTCAAACTCCCTCAAACTCTCTCAAACTCTCTCAATCTCTCTCAATCTCTCTCAATCTCTCTCAAACTCTCTCAAACTCTCTCAAACTCTCTCAATCTCTCTCAAACTCTCTCAATCTCTCTCAAACTCTCTCAATCTCTCTCAATCTCTCTCAATCTCTCTCAATCTCTCTCAATCTCCCTCAAACTCCCTCAAACTCCCTCAAACTCTCTCAATCTCTCTCAATCTCTCTCTTTCTCGTCTTTGTTGTTTGCTTGCTCGTTTTCTCTCTCTCTCTCACCCACTCTCTCTCTTTTCAGCATCTCTGTGGCCAATCGCTTCACGCCGTCCTCGCCGTGTTTTCGGGTCGCTGGCCCTGGCATCGGTGACCGCTACCCCGCCTGTGGCAGTGTGCATTCTTTACTCAGCTGTTACAAGGTGCACGGCCAGACCAATAGTGTGAGTGGCATGTAACGTGCAATGTCCTTGGTCATTTTCTGATGTGCCGCCTCGACCCGGGCCATTCAGTTTGCGTTGGTGGCCAGACCTGCCGTCTCGAGGTACCCTCGTCCACGACGGGGCAGGCCCTGTTCCTCTTCTGCTTGTTCCTCTTCTGCTTGTTCCTCTTCATCTCCTCCTCTTCCTCCTCGCTGCGTCTGTCCGTTTCCATCAATTGCTCTCCATCTCTTGCTTTTGCCTGTCGCCTTCCTGCCTCGCTCCCGTATACTTCAGGCTTCTGGCTCATGCATTATCTCGTCGCCCTCAGCCGGTGCTCCCTCGCACATCCCCTCGTTTGGAATCAAAAACCGTGCCTCTGTGCACCAAGGCGTGCAGAGCATCCTGCTGACCAAGCAACAGCGCCTCGTCGTGCATTCCGTGCTTGGCACCACAGCCCCACTCTGCGCGTCACGGTCACCGTCGCGTAGCTCGCTTGACTCTTATAGCGGAGGTAAACCCCGCGACATCATTCGGCCAGGATCCCCTGTCGTCAGACACACAAAACTCGCTCGCTCGCTCTTCTCTCCCTCCTCTCTGTCCCCTTGATCTTTGGTGCCGTTGGCATCCAACCATACTTCTTGACGTTGAGCATTCGTTGCTGTCGGAAGGTCACTGCCTTTGTGTCGTCGCTTCAAACATTACCGCGGCCTCGCCGTTGATGGGTGCTCAAGACATCGTTCCCATGCTCAAGTTGTTGTTCCCAGGCGTTTCTTTCTTTTTTGTGTGTGTGTGTGTCTCTCTCTCTCTCTCTTTCTCTCACTTTTACACACAAAACTGTTTTTTCTTCTTCTTCTTCTTCTTCTTCTTCTGTGTCTTCTCCTCTTTCTCTTTTGTTTCATCTGCTGCTCTTTTGGGTCTACATCTCTTTCTTTTGCTTTCCCACACGCAAACCTTCCACACAAACACACCATCCTTCATCAAATTTCTCGTGCATCTGTGTTTTGCGTGCGTGCGTGCGTGCGTGCGTGCGTGCGTGCGTGCGTGTATGTGTGATCACCTCGACCTCTCCGTCCCATTGGGCCACCGACGCGTCAAGCCCACATTCCCATGGCTGAAACGCAACCCGTGACTCTGTTTGTGACTGATGGGCCGAAGGGGCTGGTCACAAATTGTCAAGAATCACCTTTTGCGTCCCAACAACCTCCTCCTCAACGCTGTCGCGCCCCTCGACCGCCACGGCTTTTCTCTTTAATGTCCTGTCTCCCTTTTCTCAACGGATGGTTTCTCGGGGACCACTCGACGACGTCTGTTGCTTCTTGACCATCTCGCCCCCGCCGCTTGCTGGCTCACTTTCCCTGTTGCGTTTCCACTCTGAACCCTTCCGTTGCGATTCAAACACACCTCTCGCTGCCAATTTCGTATTTGTGCGCACCCTTGCTTCTCTTCTCGTTCCCCCCACTTGATCCCCTCCCTCTCGCATTCCATTTTTTGTGTATACGTGCCTTCTTCCTCCTCGCTGCCCAAGTACCTTAAACCAAACACCTTCCTTTTCACGAACGCATTCCGCCGCGTCCGGCGTCCGATAGATTTTCCATCAGTTTTGCCGACCATTTGAAGAGTCTTGTCTCAAGCTCGCAACAGATATACACACCCAGCCCTTCCCGACGTCCCCTTGCCCCTGGCCATTCTCTCCTCGATCTTTCATTTGTTCCTGCTCTCCGATCTAGCAACCTCGCCACGAGCCTGCCCCATCTCTGGCCTTCCGCCCCGCCCCATCCCCTCTTTCTCGACGCCACGTGGGGGACTCCCCTCCGAGACATGGTGGTTTGCCAGCGCCGGGCCTGGGCAGCGCCAGGCAATCCCACGCTGTCCTAGTCGGAAGCTGTATTCATCTTGGTTCAGACCAGCCACCATGCGTGTCACCAACGACAGCTGCAACGGGCCATCCCTCGCGACCTCCCTTCCCGGAGGGCGGCGAACTGCGCGCGCCGCGCGCCCCGGTGTAGATAGTCACAACGATGTATCCAATGGTACCGACGGCGAGGTTCACAAGAGTGAGAAGCACGATCACAGCCATGATGGGCACGTCATACCTCGCGATACCCCGCTTGATCACTCCAAATTCTCCCTCAACCTCGACAAGGTGAGCGACCCGGGCGTGCTCTTCTCTCGCACTGATGCCATCTTTGATGCCTTCTACCCGGCACACCGCCACCACTCATAATCAACTCATTCATCGCGTGACGATTGGTCGTCCTCTTCGGCCTCAGACCTGCCCGTTGCGTGAGCATCGCAAAGAGATGGACAAGGTCAATATATCGGTCCTCATTGCCGCCGCTCTCAAGTCAGCTCCCGAGGAGACTCTTTCGCTTGCAGAAATCTATGAGTTTGTCTACGTACACCGAAATTTGATGGACGAAGTAACCAACGGCGATACAGAGGTCGGCACTTCCGTGTCAACTTGCATGACCGTCCCAGATCACCTCGCTTTCCCCTCTGCTTGAATGCTCACAAGGGCCTTCCCTCTTTCTCAGCGATTGATTCGCAAGGCGCTGCGCCAAGGTGCCTTTGTCCTTTTCAAGGACAACCGATCAAGCCTGGCTGCCCTTTGGACGCTTAACGAACGCGCTTTGAACGACAGTCAACTAGCCGCCCTCAAAATCATTGAAGCCTGCTCTGACTGTACGTGATGCTCCGTTACCCCGCAGCTCCCGAGGCATTTGGCGTTGCCCTTTTTGTGGTTGCCGCCTGTTTGCCTATGTCTTGTGTGAGCACAGCGCTACACGTCTGTACACATGCCCCGTGTCCGTGTTGGTGGTGCCCGGCGCCATGCCCTACGTCTCAGGCCACTCATTCTTGTCACTTGCCATCACAATCATGTGCATGCACCCCAGACTCGGAATACTGGACCCGCGCACGCACTTCCCGATCAGCCACCGCTGCCATTGATCGGCTGCGCCAGCAGGAACAGTCCATCTTGAAAACCTCACGGCCGGTTGGCGTCGAGGCATTACGTGTGAGCCACAATCATGATGGCCAGGACTTGTTTGAGCGTTGTCGCTCTGAGATGCCCGACGTGGCCATCATGGCTCAATCCAGCCTGACTGTTAAGCCAACAGGCTACATTCATGTCTTTCAAATGAACCCTGAACAACAACGGGCCCTTGAAGATGCTGTGCTCCGCGCCCGACGCGTACGTTGTTTCTGAGGGACATGACCAATCAGACAAGAACCTGGTTATTCGCACGGCAGCCGAGCTGCCGTATCAGGCTAACGCGTAATCCTCACTCTGGATGGCCATGCCGCTGCGTTTGCTCTATAGGCATCAAAACCGTCCTCTGGCAAGCGATCATACGCTGCCTCCGCCCCCATCCACGGAAGTACACCAGTCAAACGCGCTCTGATCCGCCCACACGCCATGAAGGATTCGCGAGATGTACAGCCCACCCACGTCACTGAGGCTGGGCCCTTGTCAAGATCCGCGCCGGCCTCATCGCAAGTGGGTGGCACGACCAACCTACCGGCATCAATGATGGCCCCCATGCTGCCTGCCGCCTGGGGCATGCAACCCTGGCCACTAATGATGCCTATGATGGCCCCCATGCCAACGGGAGTGTTTCCAGGTACGGGCAAATCGTTCCAGCGCTGCCCCCCCCCCCCCCCCC